GAGTGTCTGGACACTGGAAGCGTAATTGTCACCTTTACTTGGAGGATTTGAACAACAAGAAGCTTGATGAAGCTTCTGCCTCAGGTATTCATGTTATAGAAGGAGTAATGACAGTCACACTTATCGGGCTTACGCTTGGGCGTAGAGGCAATTTTTGCCTTTTTTGCCTCCTTTTTGGCTTTGCCCTTCCGCTTCTTGCTGGAGTTTTTCTCAACAGCAAGCACAATCTTGGGAACCACGATATCCTACTCGGCCGATTTCAACATCCCATGCAGTTCGGCTAAGCTCTTAGTAACTCCAGCAAGAAGCGGAAGGGCAAAGCCAAAAAGGAGGCAAAAAAGGCAAAAATTGCCTCTACGCCCAAGCGTAAGCCCGATAAGTGTGACTGTCATTACTCGGAGTGTCTGGACACTGGAAGCGTAATTGTCACCTTTACTTGGAGGATTTGAACAACAAGAAGCTTGATGAAGCTTCTGCCTCAGGTATTCATGTTATAGAAGGTAACATCTGTACTACATCTTCGTGGGTATTGGATACCGGAAGTGCCTCACACATTTGTGGAAAGCAAGAATTGCTGCATTGTGTGTTGACGTTTATGATTTGCATCTTCCTTCTGGATTTGTTTTAGAATTAAGTAATTGTTACTATGTGCATGCGATTAGCAGAAACATCATTTCTATTTCATGTCTGGATTTGGATGGTTTTCGATTTGTGATTGAGAACTCGAGTTTGTTGATTTATCGATACGTTCACTGATGATTTCAGTCCATACAGTTATGTCTATTTGATGAGACATAAGTCTGAAACACTTGAAATGTTCAAGGCTTTCAGAAACGAAGTACAGAACCAGCTTGGCAAGACAATCAAGACACTTCAATCAGATCGTAGTGGCGAGTATATGAGCCAAGAGTTCTCTGACTATCTGGTTGATTGTGGTATTGTTTCACAATTAACTCCTCCTAGAACGCCACTGTGGAACGGCGTGTCTGAACGGGGGAACCGAACACTGTTAGACATAATTCGGTCGATGATGAGTCAGACAGATCTTCCTAAGTCCTTTTGGGATTGTGCTTTAGAGACCGCTGCGTACCTGCTGAATAGGAGTCCCACGAAGTCGGCTGAAACGACGCCATATGAGATATGGACGGGGAAGCGTCCCGCGTTGTCGTGTATCAGAATTTGGGGTTGTGACGCTTACGTGAAGCGTCAGATGACTGATAAGTTATCCTCCAAATCTGATAAGTGTTTATTTGTAGGCTACC